AAAAAAAAATCACATATAACCAATCAATATATGACATTAATTAGTTTTGATTTTCTTAGAATGTCGCACACCCCAATGAGGCATGTTCCAACAAAACCAGACAAAGTGAACATTTTGTATTGCCAAAAATTCCTCATCTGTTATCTTTATTTTTTTCTTTAAATAGCATATAGAACTATTTCTATATAAAAATAATTAATATGAAACTAATTTACATCAGATCCATTATGGAACCCAAAATTACAGTACTATTAGAAGTATTTTGAAGAAAGAACAAGGAGAAAGATTGCTCCTTTAAAAATAAACAATACTCAGACACTTAAGCTTATCTAAGGAAAGAAAGGATTACCTATGAAATTTATCAAAGAAAGAAAAATCATAACCAATAAAAGAAAATTAGCAACAGAACCATAAAGAACCTAGAAAGAAAAGAAAAATAATTTATTACTTAACTTGGGTTTAATTGTCAGTATAAGTGAGCATATTTATGCTATCTTTTAAAGATTAAAGTTAAAAATAGATTTGACAAAAGAGAATTGGTGTGGGTTGGTTTGACTTTCTTGGGTTTTACTTCAATTATTTTCTCTGATTTCTCTTTAAGTGAATTTTCTCACTTCCTTGGCTAATTCATTTCTCCCTTTTTACAAAATTGCTTCCAGTAAAATTAATAAATAAATTACTAAATAAATTACTCTTGTGCAGTCATAATTCTTTCCTGTTAACTCTATTAATATTTTTTTCTAATTCTTCAGCTTTCTTTCTTAATTGTATTAATTCTTGATTGTTTTCAGGTGCTTGGATTTCTTTGGTCCACAGCATTATCACAAGTAATCTTTAAATGATTTCCATCTTTGTTCAATTTCCTGATCCCATCAAAAATCATACTGAGTGCCATTAGGACCTTTACCAACTATTTCATCTTCATCAAGAACATAATTAATTTGCTTCCTTACTGCTTCATCTTGAATGAATGTCAAATAAATAAACTTTACATAGACTAAGATTTACCATCTTTAGTTCAACTTGCAAAGAATTGCATACACCAGATATTTCTGATAAATCATTCTTATATAGTAATGAAATTACTGATAATGACATGTTAGCTGCTTTATCAGAAAAAAATATGGGATGAATTGTCAGAAGTAGGAGTTATAATAGATGAATCCACTGATATAACTACTACAAAACTTAATCAAGTCAAAATTGCATATCCTTAAAATGGTTGGTTTCACAATAAAATGGTTTTTCTATTATCCGGAAATTCCTAATTTTTTGACCGGCTCTTCCAATTTTTATTATTATCGGAATTTTGAATTCTAAACCAGAAAAACCTGCAAAATTTAAGTACATTTTGTGCCCCGGATACAGCTTTTAGCCTGGCGAGGGATAAAATATAAATCGCACGGATATACCTTTGATCACCTGGTCCGTAGATCTTGAGTGAATTATCCGACCGATACCCAAAGATCGATAAGGGGGATATCCCTCTTATATGTTTTCCCAGGCTGAGGCTTTATCCCTATGAACTGAACGTTTCGATCTCACCGACCCTGATAAAAAATCATGTAAAATTTCTTTTTTTGGAAGCTTTTTGACGATCAAAACATTTGAAAAAAAAATAAAAAAACAGCTTTCGATTGTTTACTTGGATTGAAATTTAAAACACCGAGTAATTAATTACGAATAAATAAATAAAAATTTTGAAATAAATCATAACAACTTAATTCAACACCTGCCTACCAACCTTCTGGTGTTAGAACCAAAGGCAAAAACCAAGATCTATACAACAATAATAGTGAAAGATCCTTTGACAAAAGTAACAAGAATAAGAGAATGCAAGCCTCAAATACCAACCTAAAACAGAAAAAAAAAGAGACACAACTAACCTAGTGATGTTAGCCTGCATGCATAATTTCTAAATTTGGTATTAGATTTCTGCGTTACTTTCTTGTTATAGAAATAAAATTACCAATTTAGGTAGTAAACGGCTTAGCCGGCCAAGGATTTTTAAACGGCTAACATCACTAAACTAACCATTCAAACTATTCCAACAACCTAACAAATGGAAGCATGAATGCAAACACCATATCAATAGACACTAATATAAAAATGAACACTGATAGACACCAACCAATTCTCAAACCACCAAAGGAAGTAATTGTAGCACCAAGTAATAAATAATGACAATAAATTTTTCGCACATATAAAAAATAGAAAAGCTCCACATCAAATAGATTTTGAAAAGATGCACAAGACATCTTTAAAACACAACACAATATAACTAACATCCCTTTCGAAAAGCGATGAAAAAAACAAGACTCCTCTTGGGTTGGAAAATATTCAACAACACAAATGGGGAAAACTCGACTCCCAACATATACAACAAAAAATCAACTACATTCCAAGGTTCAATACCCATATTAGTCAACGGATATTGCATGTTAATATGAAGTGATCAATTAATTTTTGTGTCACAAAATATCTTGCTTCTTTCTAAAGTTGGCACCCATAATGTAAAATTACGGTATTACGGTGTTGCAATAAATACAATCTGGAAAGTCATAATATTTGTTATGTTGCATTCAAATAAAAAGTAGATCACGATCTTTACTTCTCCCACAAGTATGTTTTGTGCATTTTTAAACCCATTTCATATAATAATTAAAGATGAATTTTGCTACTGATAACAAAAATAATCTTGGTCTAAAATATAGTGATATCTGGGTATATTTTACACATGGTAGCAATCTTGGTAATGGAAATTACCAAACTGCGTATAAGCTATGTTCGTCATTTTTTAAAGATGCCTGTCCGTATCTTTTACGTTCTCATATAGTTTCTCAATATTCAAAAGCATCCGAAACTACCAAAAATGAAGTAAACGAATTGATATTACAGCAATTAGATAATGAATAGATAAACGAATTCAAATGTTTTATGTTTGTTTAGTTCTAATAACTACATTTTAATAAATAGAAAATTGGTCCAACTACATCGTGATTATGTTGTTACACTATGTAAAGTTGCAAGTTTTGTTGCAACATTTCTTTCGTTGATAAATTTCATATTCATAGATTAAATTTCTGCCCAAACGAACCTTAAAACACATTTTTAGGGATAATATATTACTTTAACGGAAGAACTCAAGGAATGCGTTTAGAAGATGGAAGGCAAAAAAGAATCGAGGAATAATCTTTTGTATATATACTGGCTGTAAAAAACGCTCTTCGACAAGAGGAAAAGGTGTACGTATTTTGCATTTACAGCCAGATCCTGCTTTCCAGTGTCCTTTAATTTAAAGAATTATCGAAAGACAAGGACATAAATTTATCTTTTTTCCCAAGTTCTACCGTCATTGAGCATTTTGGAGAGCAGCAAAAAAAAAATACATATAACATAACTGTGATTACACTTTTAAAAACAGTTCCAGGAACACTTGACTCTGTATCATCAGAACAAATACGCAGATATGCAAGATTTACTTGATGAAATATTATTAACCAATATCCATGTTTTATGTGCTGTAAAGAGATATATGTCTCACAGGCGTATCCCAGAAATGAGAAGAATTATATACATAGTTACTTTTTTTAATTACAACGAGCATATCAGCCGATTGGTTTTTTGGACCCTTTTTTCAAACCTTATATCTTATTGTGTCTCGACGTTAAACACGAATATTTTTAATGTGTAAACTGGTCGGTAGAATGATAATTAACCCTAAAAAAATTTATTTGCTCCAGGGTTTTGCCAGTATAAAATATTCATAACGTTATGATCCTACTGTACTGAATTTTGGGGTTAAAACAAATCAACGCATACGAGCTGCGTGAATTCCATTTCTGGAGGTTAAAAAATTGACAGTTTGTCACAAAGTAGAATCGGAGATCTCATTTATATTGAATAGCCCCATGTTAGCATATTTGATTAGTTTCAATCAATTTTATTAGTAGTAAAAAATTAAAGCTAATCTTACACACATATACATGTCTAACAAATAATAAATTAAACTTGTTTTTTTTTTTGTTGCTTTCTTTATAAAATAATAATAACAATAAAGTATTGAAGATATCAAAATCATTTTAATCGAAACTAATCACGAAAATTTGTGATTGATCGATTAGAAGTAGTTGTTTGACTATATAAATGAATATGAATATGATCATATATGAGAGAGATTAATTATGATGATAAATATAAAATAAAAATATAAAAAAATTTTTTTAATAATAATTAATCAATAAATGTTTAAATATATATATATGCATATATATATATAAACCATCCATCAAATAATTGTATATATTTTTTATTAATTAATTAATTTAATCTATATTCCAAAGTCTAGGGGAAATACCTTTGTCCTCTTGGTGCTACTGGTACATCCTCATTTCCTAATCCTTGATCGAAAAATGCTGGATTAAAATGTGGTGCAGGATATCCTGCTGCTGGTCCTGTCGGTGCTAATTATATCAAATAACAAATCGATTAGAAAATTTATATTATATACATTTATTTGTTTAAAAAACTTACTAGCAAAATTACTCATACCACCACCACCCATGAAATCTTCGCTATAAGCACCACGCATCATGCCACGACTCATCATTCTTTGTCTAGCTGCTGCTGCTGCTTGATTTTGCATCGCAGCTGCATTCATCATTCTACCACGAGCCATCATAAAAGATGCATCATTAGGTCCACCAAAACCATTCATATAACCAACTCTACCTGCTCCTGCCGCTCCTGTTCCGAAAGCACCGGTACCATATGGTGACATATTTTGTGAAAAGAAATCTCTTGGGGTCGGAACCATTTGTCCGTTTCTGAATGCTGCTGATGAATTACGATTATGAAAATCCATTCCTCCACTATTACCACCACCAGCTGCTGCATTTGGTCTCATAATAGGACGGATTGGTAAATTTCCAGATGTTGTAGATCTTTGTTGCACTGATGATTGTTGTTGACGAGAAGCTTTTGATTGTGGTTCTATCAATAATTAAATATATTTTAATATGAATGTAAAATAAACATGGATGTATAAATATAGATGTGCATATATTTACAATAAATAAGCAAACATTATTTACCTTTTGGAACAGTTTTGAAAGGATTACCATTTGCTGAACTTGTGAAATTTACTAAGCATTTTTTATCTGTAATTTCACTAAATACTTGATTGGTTAATTATATAAAATTAATAATATTTATTTATTTATTTATAACTTACGTTTCTTCTAATTTTTCTTTAACTTTACTGGAAGCTTCTGAAGTTGTGAATTCTACATAAGCAACACTATTTAAATAAAAATTATTATTATTATTATTATTTTTCAAAAATATATCTTTATATAATATTAATTAATTACCCTCGTGATTTTCCATTAACTTTATGTTCATAGAAAGTAATCTCTTTAACTTCAGATAAAACTCCAACATCACGTGCTACAGCACAAAGATCTTCATCAGTTGTCCACTATCATCATGTTTGTCGTTATTATAATTATTATCAAAAAAATTGTATATTTAATTATTAATTAATTAATTAATATCATCATTTACCCAATTTAAATCGCCAATGTATAATGCATTTGTAGCATTAGAAACAGATTTACGATCCATCATAGTTTGGCTTCCATTACTAGTAGTTGATGAGGCACGTTGTACGTTTTGTGTTTGACCTAAAGATTTAAAATTTAAAAAATATCAATCATGTATATTATCTCTTTTTCTTTCCTTTCTTGATTTTCCCCCCTTTATTACCTTCAGTTGCAATAATACTGGTGTTATCACTACCAAGATTTTTATTGTCCTCATCAGTATTTTCCAACTTAACTTCATATCCCTGTTGATTTTAAATCAAAACAAAAAAAGAGGTAGGCGGGTGGGCAATTGTATGTGTGAAAAAAAGGAATTTTGAGAGAGAAAAATTTATCATTGGTGATGGTGACGATTGATAGTGGTGGTGATGGTGATGGTGAAGTTAAAAAATTTTTTTAAAACAGTAATAGAATTTTCCCCCAATATATATATATATATTATATAGAAAAAAAAAAGAAATCTGGTAAGTTTAATGTTGATTTTTTTTTTTTTAGAAAATTTTATTTTTCTTATCCTTTCTTCCTTTTTTCGAATTATTGAAATTATTGATTCTTTTTTTTTTACATTTTTCTTGTTTATATATATACATTGTATCTTATATACATATATGTTATTTACAAATTAAATAAAATTACTTTCCTTTTTTTTAGTAAAGCAATTTCAAAAAAAAAAATAATAAATAATCACAAAAAAAAAAATTTAATTAAATAATTAAAAAAAAATCATTTGTAATATTGTAATAAATACATCATAACGCAGTCTATATAATTAGAAATAATAATAATAATAATAATTCAAAAGTAATATATATTTACAAAAAAATAAAAATAATAATAAATGTGTTGAAAAGGAAAATCATAAAGACTGCGTTGTGAGGTAATCACGAACCTTTTCACCTTCCATAAAATCTCCAAATAAATCATCTTCGCCAACAACTTTATTTTGTCCAGTTGAATGATGATGATGAATTTGGTGCTGTTGTCGGTTTTGATGATGATGACTATGCTGAATATTATTGTGATCAGAGGTTTCATAATCCATATCTCTTCTTGTTCGTTTCAAAGGACGGGCAGCTTCTTCTGAATTCAAAATATCTGGGTATATGTCATCTTGACTCTTTTATTTAATAAATATTGGTTTTAGATTTTTTTAAAAATGAAATTAAATATCATTATGATTATTATAATAATAATAATAACTTTACCAATAACATTAAAATTAATTAAATAATAAACCATAGAAATAAAAAAATATTTGAACATACTGTATTTTCATTATTACCAAAGTTATCATCATTATATATATCAAAATCATCCATTATTGATATTTTTGCTGTTGGAATGAAATCAAAATAAAAAATAAAAAATAAAAATATATATTAAATTTTTTGGAGGAGAAATCTACATAAATGTTAAAAAAAGAGAAAGATATTGATTAATTTAATTTATTTATTTATTATTTTTATTATTATTACAGATTGTTTTTTATACTAGAATGTATTGTATACAAAACAAAATCACCCTTCTAAATTATTTTCCTCAGCTAATCTTGAATACTATTATAATAATAATAGTAGTAGTAGTAGTAAATAACAAACCACTGACAAATAATAACAACAATGATGATAAAGAACTTCTAATCAAAAGTACATACTTTTTAAGTGTTAAAAAAGAGAAAATTTATAATATTTTTATCCTGAAAAAGAATAATGAATGATATTACTTGCTATTTAAATAATTATAAATTTTCCGCTCACATGAACTTTTTTGATTGGTTTCTCAATCGAATCACAAAGAATTTTGATTTGTATAATTTAGGCTCTGCCTTTCTTGATACAGTTCACTCTGGACCATTTTGCTTAGTATTAGGAAAAAATGTCCATTATGGTGTGAATCCGCAATATATTATATAAATTAGGTTTAAGGAAGATCCGTCATAGAAAGGTCTGCTGTTATTATTATTATAGAGTGAACTGTATATTTTCTCAAGCAGAAAGGTTATCAATAATAATTGTTTTCTTCACAATTGATAATAATAACGAATTAGTAAAATATTTTGTTTTGCCATCTATAGAATAATAATGATATATATTGATGAAAATTATTTATCATCACTCTTTATTTGGAATTTTTGCGAAAAAATCTGAAATATTTACTTTATATTGAAACGTACATGTGACAAAATAAAAAAAGCCTGATAACCAAAAAAACTCTATAATTCGTTTCTGAGCATACTTTGCCTAATAAATAAATATTTATCAAATGCTGAAATTAGTCTTTCTTTTCATAATATAGTAGTCAAAATTAATAGTAGCTGAAATTATAGTCAAAATATTTGGCAAATCTATGATTCTGATGGATTTAAAATTTGATTTATTTCATCAACATCATTTCTTATGAGTTGAAAATATAGCACACACATTACTTCAACTTTGTAAATACTTAATTTGGTTTGATAACCAATTTTAATGTAGCAAACCCTTGAGATGGAAATATTGCATAAAGACCAATTTTTGCAATTTATTATTATAAGATAAATGATATGATGAAAGAATTAGTAAATTCTATTAAAATTTCCTGTTTCCATGGATTTATATTAGGCAGTTCGGTTTTAAATATTCTTCTAATGTGGAAAGGCAACAGACTTATCAAAGATAAATCTTGCCCAATCAAAAAAAGGTTTTGTTGTACCATCTAGTTTTTGAATTGTCCTTGATAATAACCATGTGCAATATGAGATGATTGAAAAATTTTAAAATTGTAGTGCAATTTGAAATAATTGGTTTAATTCACAAAAATTTGAAGCTATTAAATTTACTGTGTGAACAACATATCTAAAATTCAAAATATGTGAATATGATTTTCTTTGCTATTCTTAGATTTGGCCAGAAACTGTTACTACTGCAACAAATTTATGTGACCCAATTTTTTTCAATTAAACCTGAAATTTCATTTGCCATAAAGTCTCCAGTTTGACTGACAGTATTACTAAAATTTTTAATATTTGGAAATAGTTATTATATGGAGCATAGCGGGCTTTCTTTATGATTGGTTGGTTCACAAAGAAATTGATTGGTAAATTTTATTATTATGTCGATCATT